TTTTTTTTTTTTTTTTTTTTTTTTTATTGTTCTATGAATGTGAGTAAAAACGTCAACATAAATAGTTCTTTAACCAAACGGATGTAATCGGGAAAGAGTTGTTTTATTGTAATCGGAAAGCCGATGAGCACAACGAGCAGGGCTTCTTCTTCAGCGAGAACCTCTGTGATCTTAGAAAACCCTATTTCTCGGCCACAACCGACAGAAAGATTAGTCCTTCGTTTGAACAGGAAGAAGAAGAAAGTCTCACGGAAAGACGGGACGGTGGACAACGAGTTCATGCAGAAGAAGAGTTCAAAGAAATGTTGTATCGTTTCACCAACAGAAGCCCTTTGATGAGGATGATTGACAGCGAAGAAGATGAAGATAACAATAACCATCACCATGATCATGGCCATAACCATGAACACTCCCATTCTGGTGAGGCCTCTTCTTCTTCAAGCGATTCTAAAGCAGTTTGACCACTCATATTTGTACATGTAATTTTCATATTGCACTGTAATGACAATTGATTTTAAACTACTTGAAAGCTCTGTTGTGTGTGGGGAGTTTTATCTTGTCTTTAAACAAACGAGTTTCAACAAAAGGAGAAACATAAACTCTTGTTTATTTGCTCTATATTCAGTGAAGCCAACGTCACATGAGGTGCAAGAACAGAGAAGACTCAGCAGTAAACCAAAGCCCAACATCCCAAGAGAAACTCAAAAATGAACCAATTATATTAACCGGGCCTAATTCGCTAAGCTATCTTAATCAATTTGGGCTCTATAGCCCGATTTCCGGGTTAAGTGGATATAAATTTTGAAAGCTCATAAAAAGAAATTTTGGAGAAGGAGGAAAAAAAAAATATTCTAAAATCGATTTCTCACCATTTCTGAGAAGAAGACAAAATAGAGAGAGCCTCTTCTGCATATTTGGTTTTCAATCGACGCTTTTCATTTTTAACTCTCCTCCTTCGGAGCTCTCTCTCTTTCTCCGGCGTCAGGGGTTTATCTACTGCTTCTGCTTGTCGGTAAGTCTCCGAACGTTCACCTTCTCGACGCTTTTCCCAGTCTCGATTTTTCAATTCCTTTTCCTTGGATATATACTCTTCTCACGGCTCGCTGCTCTCTGCTTCCTAGGTTTCCTTTTTTCATCTTCCGTTGTCGATTAGTTCTGGTTTGGGATTTTCTTACGGCTTATTTTTGAAGTTCTTGCTAGATTTTTCGTTATCTACATGCCGGAAATTAGTTTCTACTTTTCCTGATTCCGAGTTTAGTTGAGATTGGATTTTCGAATTTCTTCTGCACTATCATCATATGATTTATCATCGCGTGGGGTTAACGCAGCTTTGAGAAAATGTAATTTGGTGGAACTTTGATCGAAATTTCCGAGTTAACGTTTTTTTTTTATGGCTTTTCCCCTTTCTTCTGTAAATTCCCTCCCTTCTTTGTTGGTGTGTGTGCTCATTGTTGATCTCTTATTCAGTCCTCTTGTGATTTATCAATTCGGGACCTCCATATCTTCAAGATTGGTTCTTATCACGATTTGGAATCTAATCTATATGGAAAAACTTTTGCAGGTACTCTAGCTTGCTTTGTATCTATCGAGCTTTTCACCAAGTGTCAATGGCGGGCTCAGAGAATGCTCAGCAACCTTCCAAAAAGAGAGCTGCTTTGAAGGAGCTGTCTCGTGACAACCCTGGTCTTGATGATGAAGAAGACTCCTCTGCACTTGAGAGTGGTACCTTCAAGATTGCAAGTCAGGAGGTGTTGGCAAGCAGGAGAATTGTCAGAGTTAAGCGCAGAGATCCATCTTCAGCACCACCAGCCTCCAATCCATTTGCTCGAATCCGTTTGGTCCCTGCGGAAACGAATAAACCTCTCTCTGAGGGCAAACAAGAGACACAGGATGCTGGAGGATCTGATTTGACCAAGGTAACTACTGATGGTGGCGAGAAAGACAAGAGCGAGGCAGTCGATTCTGTAGGAAAACAAGAGATGCAGGGCGATGGAAGATCTGAAACGAGCAAGAAGATTATTGATGGTGGCGAGAAGGACAAGAGTGGAGAGGATGGTGGAGCTGAAAACAAGATTAATGATGAGACGAAAACAACAACAGAAGGCGAAGATGCTACTGGGAAAGAGACTGAAAAGGCTAAAGTTGAGAACGACGATAGCAACACTGATAAGGGGACTGACTGTGTTGACAAAGATTCAGGAGCTGATCAGACTGAGAAAGAAGAAAAAGAAGTCACAGATAAGAATGGAGATAGTGGAGCTTTGAGCTCTTTCCACCAGCACTCAAGCAGCAAAAACGCGTTCACCGGTCTTGCAAGTACAGGTTTCTCCGCTTCTTCATTCTCGTTCGGTTTGGTTTCACAGGAAGGTTCCACTGGCTCAGGTTCTGGGTCTCTGACTGAACAGTCATCCTTCAGCTTTGGCCTGCCAAACAATGGAGACTCTTCTCTTTTCGGTACATCCGGTTCAACTCCCATGACCACAAAGAGCGCCGGAACTAGTACTGCCTTCCCATCAAAGCAAGAGGTTTCAGTGGAAACGGGAGAAGAGGACGAGAAAGCAGCTTTCACAGCTGATTCAGTAATGTTTGAATATCTTGAAGGAGGATGGAAAGAGCGTGGGAAAGGAGAGGTCAAGGTCAACATATCGACGACGACTGGTAACAGAAAAGCCAGGTTAGTGATGAGATCAAAAGGAAACTACAGGCTGATCTTAAACGCAAGTCTTTACCCGGAAATGAAACTGGCAAGCATGGACAAGAAAGGAATCACATTTGCTTGTGTGAATAGTGTAAGTGAAGCCAAGAATGGTCTCTCTACGTTCGCACTCAAGTTCAAGGATCCAACGGTGGTTGAAGAGTTCCGAGCAGTGATCGAATATCATAAAGACAGCAAACCTGCCGTTGTAGAAGCAGCAGCTTCTTTGAAGACACCTGAGAACTCGCCGAGGGCTGAAAATGCTTGAAACGAAAAATCTTGGATATACTATTAGTTTCCTTGTGTTTGTCTTTGGTTGTTTAAAGTTCAAATTTGGCAGAGAGATTAGAGAGATTATGTAGGTCACTTAAACTCCTTATGAGCTTCGTAAAAGAAATATATTGGACGTGACTGTTTTCTTAAATCTTTTTTTATCAATTTGTAGAAATAAAAAATGACATATGTCAGTTTGTAGCACGACACTTGTTACCGTTTCGAAGCAGTCTCCGTAAAAAACTTGATTAATTTTTTTATATCAGTTATTATAACTAATGTTTATTTGTGTCAGTTACAAAAATAAATGATACTTTTACATCAATTTGAGTAGGCTAAGTAATGTTACTATTTGTGATGGTTATAGTAATTAATTATAATTATTTCTATCATTTATAAATAACTAATGTTAAAATTAGATTTTTTTTCTTTTTTTTTTCTTACAATAACTTCAACTTTATAAAACGGTTTTAATTTATATAGTATTGATGATAAAAGTAGATCCAAGCTCTTCATACTAACTTATCTGTCTTTGTGTTTTGTATATGTAGAATGTATAATATCAGATAAAAACCAAACTCTTTTCTACTTTGCTCATATTCTTTCAAATATAACGAAAAAGCTGGCTGAATTAAAAACCATATTCACCAACTCGAAATTTTTTATTGCAAAAGCTATGGTCAATCTCCTTTCTTCAATCATACAATGCATTGCCATAGTAATGCTTGGAGTTTGGAATGCAGTTCCGATAAGGTACTCCTGGAAATTTTTGCACCTCTTAAAGTACTTAACGTATCTGTTCCTTGACAAAACTTTCCAACTCCTGCATTTTTTTGTTAGATTGTTTTTATGATCTGTTTATTTGACAAATTAACCTATTATAGTTTATGGCCGGTGTAATTTGAATGCCTTGAGGTATATTGACTAAGATATCATCCACTTGGCCACCTCCCTTACCTTTGTCTCTGATAGTTAGAGTTAAAATTAAAGTAATTTTCATTAATATAGTAATTTAATAATCATTTTAAAATATAATACTATAATTTAAAAACTCATAAATATACATAAGACTATATGTAATCTTTTTTTTTGTTCAAAAAGACTATGTAATCTTGGTTAATAGACATATTGATTTTTTGGTAACTATAAATACGATTTAGACGTTTACTTATTTATAAAAAAAAACACTCTTCACCTCTGCTTTAATTATCAATGTGGAACGCATTGCAAAATAATTAAAAATTTATTATTATAGTTTCTTAACTGATATAAATTATATATCATTTACCTAACTGATGTTAGTAAAATATAGTACTTCTATCATTTATTTAATTGGTGTAAATTATATTTTTGCATCAATCTTTATAAAATAATATAAATGGATATAAATTTGTATTAATTATATTGAATTGATGTTAAATAATTCAATGATAATATTAGTTAACATTATTAGAATATTAGTATAAATTAATTTTTTAATACTATTAATTGATATAATATGATATTTTTGTTGTAATGGTAGATGAAACATGTGTCATTATTTCGAAGTTGCCTCTAGAAAAAACTTTATGATATTAGAATAGATATATGTTATTTATATCTTGTTATAAAATCTCTATTGTAGTTTTTTAGATTATATGTAATTATTTTAATTATATTTATTTAGTGTAATTTAATTTAAATAATAAAGGGTTTACTATTTATTTAGTGTAGTTGATTTTTTGCCTTTTGTTAACTAGTTTTTCTTTAATTATCACAAAAGGAGAAACATACAGAGTAAAAGAGAAAATGACACATAAAAAATGGTAGATATTATACATTATACATACAATATCACATCTATATTTTTATATATAATTATGAAAAACACATATCAATTTTCTATGTGTTTATGTTTTTTTTCTTCTTTAAATATAGGTGACATATATTAGTTTCTTGAGTATTGAATAACTTTTAAAAACTTTTATAGATTGTTGTATAATCTATATTGTAGTTGTAGTTTTTGTTTTTGTGGGGATTGTATTTAATAATCTTTATTATTTTTGTTTAGTTAGTTAAGTTTTTTATTCTCTTTTTTGACCAGTTTTTTTTGTTTTAATGTAAATATATAAAATGCAATTATGACATATATGAATTTGTGAAGTACTATATGGTAGCATATCAAAACTTTTCTTAATAAACATAAATATACTATATATTATTTATATATTGTTATAAATCTCTATTGTAATTTTGTTTGTTGATTATATTTAATTATCTTTATTATTTTTATTTAGTGTATAATTATGAAAAAATACATATCAATTCTTTTATATATTTATACTTTTTTTCTTTAAATATTAATGATATAACATATTTGAAGTGCCACGTGGAAGCATTTCTAAATTGTTCTGAAAAGAAAACTTTATTTTATTAGAGTTTGGTTGACATTCATGGGCTCTATATAAAGCACAGCAAGGTCTGCTTCAAACATCAAAACAAGTTCTGTTATAAGGATCAAAGCAGTATCTTTAATTTGGTGTTTCTAATCATGACAACCTCAACGACGGGAAAGAAATGTGGGGTTTTGGTTATAGCAATATGTCTCGTTCTCTCAAGTTTCTATGAAGTTTCTTGTCAGGTAAGCAAACCACAATTAGAGTACCTTTTGCATTATAATACCATATATAAGAAATCTAAAGAAGGAATAAGAAGATGAAGATCAGAAATCAAATTGACTTGTATGCATTTGTTTTTCGTTTCAGGTTGAAGGAAGCAGCGAATATCATTGGTTTGAGGGTCCAAAAGTTCAATGTAAGCAATATTTTTCAGACGAACTTAAAAAACTTTTTTTTTTCTTTTCTTAATGTCGATCTTGTTTGGTTGCAGCTAATGTTGAAACCCTCGAATCAGAAGAGACATCATCTGTCTCTCGGTCGGTTGAAACCGAGGTAAACCTAGAACATTGTTTTGATACTTGTTGTAACCTAATCCATGATTTAAAACAATAGTTTGTGGTGATTCCCTTAAAAAAAAGATGAACTTCTTTTCTAATCTCTGGTTTGTGCATTTTGGATATATATATACAGTCTGAAGCTGCTAGTATTCAAGTGGGTCGACGTTCGAGTGCTTCGGACGTCAGACGTTTAGCGGAAGGTATAGTGTAAAAAAAAGTTGATTAATAGGCCCTTTAGATCGTGTATTTATATGTATCAAGGTTGAATGTTTTCAGAGATGGGTCCGATTTTGGTTTGTCTTTTGATTGTATAGGTTTATCTGATGGTGACATTGATAGCGATGCTGAATTAATGGATGCTTCTGAATATGGTAAGAGATTAAAAAAATAACAAAAGAAAAACTCTTTCTCTTCCAGTTTCTTTCTCCTAGGCATAATTGTTCTTTGTAGCCAAAACTTTTTTTGTTTAATGTGTTCTTGATTCAGAGGCTACGAATTGGAACCGAGCGGAAGAGATGGAAGAGCTTCATGACCAGGTGAAAGGTAATTAAGTTTGTCTATATTTTTTTCTGAGAAAATCTTGAATTGTTCTTGAGGCATCAAGTGATATTGTTCAACGAATGTTTAATATCTAAAGAATTTTGTTTGTTATATTAACCGTTCCCACGTTCCACTTTAGCTGCGGCATCCAAATCTGTCGTAGAAGAAGAATACACGAAGGAAAAGAGTAAAATGGAAACAAGTGAAACCACATTCCAAGGTACACTTTGAGATGAATTTAATTTAGTTTTATTATTTAGTTTTATTTTTTTTGACAAATTTTTAGTTTAGTTTGGTTAAAGTTTATTTGTTCATATCTTACTTTCAGGACGTGAAAGTACAGAAGATAAAAGTGATGGAAACAAAATATATTATGAAAATGAGGGTGCAAATGAATGTAAGAAACACATCTGGTTCTTTGTATGTTAGTTAGATCTCTTACAAAAGAATTCTTGGCTAGAGTCAATATTCTCATTTATATTTATATCATGCGCTGTCACAGCTGAGGGATTCATGATAAGCGAAATTGGAAGTGAAGGTATATTTATGTATAATCTTCGTATTCTCAGGGCATTTCTAAAAAGGGTTTTAGATCATCGTGATGTATATAAATTGATTACTTTTTTTTAGCTGAGTCAACGGAGAGTCGTCTAGAGTATGATTCGAAGAAAACCAATGCTCTCTCAGATTTTGCGGAATCTCTAAGAATTGGACAGTCAGGTTTATCTCTCAATTAAGCTTTAATTTGCATGTGTTATGCACATGCAGTATACTAACATCAAAAATGTGAGAAAACAGTCCTAACAACGACATGAAAAAAATATGTTTAAAACCAATTCGTAATCTCTAAGATCTCATAATATTACGCAAGAAACTCATCAGAAGAGCTTTATTTTTGTTGTTGTGGGCATGCAGGTTCCTGGCGCTGTACTAACCATGACCAGAATGATGCTAGGGGAGATGATTATATCGTTATACCAAAGTATGAATTAAATGATATCATCAAGGAAGAATCCATCAAGGTTAATTTCTTCTTAGACATTGAGGACATTTTCCATTATATATAAACGATATTAATTAATAAAGTAAACGTATCTGATTAACATCACCATCAATGGATTGACTTTGATACGTAGGGCTCCTCGTCAAAGACCTCTAGTCTCATGACATCGCTGTCCAAGATTGTTGAGAATCACAAGGAAGGACGATGGCAAGATGTTAAAATAGGAAAGGTTAGTACTAAGGAAACATCAGCGAAGGTAAAGAAGCTAAGAGAAATCCTAAAAAGTTACGTGGGTATAAAGGTACGTGAGCTCGTGGCTCGTTCGGATTACGAAAAGATACTGACGATGGCTGCACACTACGAGGAACTGACCCTGGCTCCAGTAACCTACATATCCAAGCTGGCCACGTTCGGGACTTTGATAAAGCAAGGATTCAAGGTCTCTCAGTAAGTTGAAACTGTGCACCAGAGTGTCCTGGTACACGAAAAAGTGGCCATTGAGAAGCAGAAAAGGGTGGACGATGAGTTCGAGTTAGTCAAGAATTTGGCTGATAAAGGAGACAAGTTGTCGGTACAAATATTCGCCATGAAGAAAATGGTGTTAAAGCTTGAGGCCGAGAAGAGAGAAGTTGATATGGAATTCAAGAAGATTGTAGAGAACCTATCACGCCTTCTGGAGGAATCGTCTCAGGCCTATGACAAGCATCATGTGGCTGTGCGCGAGTGGAAAGAGGCAAAAGCACATGTGGAATATTCTCATGAGACCATCGAAAAGGCTGAGGTCGTTTGGGTTCAGTTTCTCAACACTCTTTAGAGACAAGTCTCTTCTTTTTCTTCTTTTGACTCTTGCTTAGTTATGTTTTATTATTCTTTGTCATTACCTTTCAAATAAGAAGCTCTTTCTTCTGTTCTTTTCATTTCTGTTAAAATTGTTTTAACCGAGAATGTATACTTATAGCTAAAGAGAATATAGATCTTTTCATCATGCATGGCTTTGAAGTAATATGAGAAAGATTCGGTGGCTTGTGAAAAATTTAGTTTTAAATACTACAAACAAACAAACATGTTCGCACTCAAGTTCAAGGATCCAACGGTGGGCGAAGAGTTCCGGGCAGTTATCAAAGAACATAAAGACAGCGAACCTGCCGTTGTAGAAGCAGCAGCTTCTTTGAAGATATTGAGCTTTTCAAGCCTATGTCCAACTTTCTTATTAGTATGATATTGTCTGTTTTAGATCTATGTGGCTAAGTTCTCACGGATTTGTTTTTGAGCTCCTTTCAAAAAAACTCATACTAATTAGAGTTGAACATTACTTATATATTAGACCATTACTGTCTAATCTTCCGATGTGGGATTTGGATTGATATTACAATAATCCTCTCCCTCACGTCAAGAACCATACAAACCCTTTGCTTCCAACTTTTTGCGAAACTTGACACCTATCTTGTACCATTTTGTACCGACGTACGCACCCTTAATTGCAAGGCCACCTTGATGACTCTCCCACAATGAACAAGCAGGTCCAACCCACTTTCCGAGGTCCATTTTTTTTGAACCTTGACTCTAATACCAATTGTTGGGCTTTTCCAGCTCTCTTATTAATATGATATCGTCCGCTTTAGGTCCATGTGGCTAAGCCTTCACGGATTTATCTTTAGTCTCCTTCCAAAAAACTTCACATTAATTAAAGTTGGACATTTATTACTGTCTAATCTTCCGATGTGAGACTTGGATTGATATCCCAATAGAAGACACCTAAGAACTCACCGAGGGCTACAGATGCTTGGAAGGAAAAATTCTTGATATACTATATATAGTTTCCTTGTGTTTGTCGTTGGTTGTTTCAAGTTCAAATTTGGCAGAGAGAATAGAGAGATTATCTAGATCACTTAAACTCCTTATGAGCTTCGTATGAGAAATATTGGACGTGACTGTTTTCTTAAATTTTGTTTATTAACTCAACATCAAAAAACACAGCAAGCTTAATCAGTACTCCACGACCACGAGACACTCTACGTTTGTATAAGGTTTGCTCATCTTATCGCATTCCTAGAGAATCCGGTTTCCAATACTAAAAAGTCGCTATGTTATTCGCTTTTATGGAACTAGATGTTGTTCTAAAAACTCCAAATACAATAATAGTGGACGTAGAGGTTATTATATCATTAATTTTCTTGCAAAAATAAAATGTTCATTTTGGTCTAGTGAATTTAAAAATATACATTAATATTTAAATTTTGCATATCAGATCATATAAGGATGATTTAGCCTGTGATTATTAACTAATTTAATAAAATTACATTGAAACAAAAAAAAATAGAAATGCTAATCAATACAACAAAAACACAAGTGTCTCTCCTGGTGAAGACACATCAGTATTTTGGAGTTTTATAAAGATGACATTTCAGCAAAAAAAACTACCAATCAAATTAAAATATTAATACACATCACTCATTTCATTTATCATCTATTTCATTTATAAAAGCCCAAAAGATAAAATAAACATACCCATCTCTATAAACTTAATTAAACCAACACTAAAATGTGATTAACAAATTATGGAGCATGTAGCACAAGATGTTGACCACTCGAGGTGTGTGCGATTATATTTAAACAGAACATTAAAATCACTGCACTAAACGTATTTTCTTTAATCAAATTTTATATTCGTTGTATATCAAAGCGAGTTTTAGTTTTAATCACACCTTTGCTTAGCTCTTAAACACCGATGACGATGCTAGGGTTTAGGAAGGATCACAATCGGAGCAGTCGGCGAAGCTTAACAGTTTATTTTCTTTACAACAACAACACCGGTCTTCACCAATAATAACACCGGCTCGGTCTTCACCAACAATAACAGCAATGTCTTAGAGATGACATCTCAGCATTTTGAAACTTTCTGAAAATGACATCTCAGCATTTTGAAACTTTCTGAAAATGACATCTCAGCAAAAATATTCGCCAATCAAAATATTTTATTAATACAACTTATCTACTTATTTTAACTTTTAAACTTAAATCCATTAAAAACCCAAATACTTTTTCTATTAACCTTTGTTTTATTTTTTACCAAACTCGAGCCCAAATAACTAATAACAGTAAATAAAATAAAATATTTATTTTATTTTTGCCAGACTCAAGCCCAAATAATAAATAACAACAAATAAAAAAATATTTGTTTTTGATGGGCAACATAATTTTCTTTTTTTGATAGATAATGCGATTTTTTGGTTTTCGCACGAAAATACAATTTCACAGTTTTTGCAGAAAAATGCAATTTGACGATATGCAATTTTTCAGCTTTGTTAGGAAAACATGATTTCTCGGTTCGACGAGAAAACAATTTTTCTTGGCTTTGGCGAGAGTAGGAAATTTCTCTGTTTTGCCGGAAATAGAGGATTTCTTGGTTTCAGAAGGAAAATGTGAATTCTAGTTTTGGTAGCAAAACATAATTTCTCGGTTATGTCGGAAAAAAACGAATTCTCGGATTTTGGCGAGAAAATGTGAATTTTTGGTTTTGGTGAGAAAATAAACAAAAAATTGATTTTGACGGGAAAACAAAATATCTTAGTTTTGACGGGAAAATGCTCGGTTTGATGAGAAATGCAACTTTTCAATTTTGACAAAAATGCGATTTCTCAGTTTTAATAGGAAATGTAAATTTTGGCTTTTAACGGATAATACGATTTCTTGGTTTTCGTGCGAAAATGTGATTTTTTAGTTCTCGCAGAAAAATTAGAATTTGACGATTTTTGCGGAAAATGCAATTTCTCGGTTTGATGGGAAAACAAAATTTCTTGATTTTGGGCGGAATAAGCAATTTCTTGATTTAGATGGAAAATGCAAAATTTCAGTTTTTGATGAATAATGTGATTTTTTTTTTGTTTTCATGGAAAAATGCAATATCTTAGTTTTCACGAAAAAACACAATTTCTCGGAAGATAATGCAATTTTTGGTTTTCGCAGGAAATTGTTGTTTATTTGTTTTGGTAGGAAAGCGTGATTCTTGGTTTGAAGAGAAAATAAATTTATGGTTTTGGCGAGAATAGAAAATTTCTCGGCTTTTACTAGAAAACAATTTTTTTTGGTTTTGACGGGAAAATATGATTTTTTGGTTTTTGTAGGAAGATGAATTTTTTTGGTTTTAGTGAAAAACATGATTTTTTGGTTTTGGCGAGAAAACACAGGTTCTCGCAGGAAAATGAAATTTTAGGTGTTAGGTTTGACGCGACAATGAATTTTTTGGTTTTGGCGAGAATAGGCGCCTTTTTAGTTTCATGGGAAAATAAAGTTTTTGTTTTGATGGGAAATGCGATTTCTCAGTTTTTTGTAAGAAGATAAAATTTCTCTGTGCTAAATTTCCAAGTTAAAGTATGTTTACAGTAACTAAAATTTAATAATTTAACTTCAACTAAAATGATATTTCAACAGTTCAAACAGAATTTTCTATTTAGTTCTAAAACAATAGCAATGGTTTTGATATGAATGTTATTGATTATAGTTTGATAGTTTTAGAAACATATGTTTATAATAAATATTTGATAAATAAATAAATTATATAATTCAAGATAATCATATTAATTAGTAAATCTTTTTTTAAAAATGGCATCTTGCTTTATATAATTACAAAAGAGGATTAAGTGACAATTTATTAGAGAAAATAGATTATATTTGCCATTGACATGAAGCTACTAAAATATATTGTTTTATTCTTACATATACATATATAGTTAGTTAGCTAAACAAATCTAATAGCAAATTATAATTTCGAAAAATAAAAAAATTAAGAATATACAATGTTTATTCAAATTAAAAACATACAAATACATAAGTTAAGTTAATGAGAATATATATATATATATAATATTTATTTATATTATAAAATAATTTTATTATATTAAAAATATATATAAAATTTAGAAAAATATCCTGTAGTATAGTATAAATAAATACCTAGTTTTAATTTTAATACCTCGTACTTCTTGTCTGCATCAGTACGCTGTACGCTGTGTTTATTGTACTATCATCGTATCCTTTTTTTTGTTGCTTTGCCGATTGGTTACGCGCCAAATGGCAAAGGCTTTACTGCTGCGCAAACCACTTTCAAATCAAAGTCAATTTTTTTTTTTTTTTTTTCTGATGACATCAAAGTCAATTTTTTACAGTCAATTGCAGTCATATTATATATAAATATATATGACCCTAAGTTGGGAATTTGGGATAGTCATAAATTATGCATTAGTTTCCTTCTATTCAATTTTTAGTCTTATATTTATATAGATATATGACACTGAGTCGAGATAGTAGTAAGTTAATTATGTAATTGTTCGTTCGTTTATTCATGTCAATGTTCAGTCTTATAATTATATGACCCTTAGCCATGAATCTTGTATTTGACTATTTGTTTCCTTCGTTTGTTCCTGTCAATTTCACAATCATATATATTTATATGACCCGGAATCGGGACAGTCATAAATTATGTATATGTTTCCTTCGTTTACACATGGCCATTTGAACTTATATGAGATATAAACTAATGTTCTAGTAGTTGATTTCACATGTTGGGGAACAAGTGGGCCAGTGGAACGGGTATCGATATACTATCAAATTCTATCGTCGAACCTGATGTATCTTCATATATATGTTAATGTTTTTCGAATGAGTTCAACGTAAAAGAGAATTTTTATATACTTGTTTACCTGATGTATCTTCATGTATATGTTAATGTTTTTCGAGTGAGTTCAACGTAAAAGAGAATTTTTTATATACTTGTTTACAAAAGTTACTTTTAGTTAATTATTCTTGCTTTTGTCTAAAGAAACCTGGATTTTAATTTGTCATTCATTGTTCTAATAAAAACCAGTGATGCTTTGATAACTAGTAACCTTTACGATTGCTATTACCATATATAACTATTTCATCAATCATAGAAACAATTCAAACTTCAAGAAGTGTGTTGGCGTTTATACATTTTCTTGAATATCACTTGTTACTAAGTTTAGATACACAAAAGCAGAGTTTAATAGGAATCTGAAAAGTGATAACCATTAAAGCATTAATCACTTTAACTTTTTTGTTAGTTGTTGTAGTAATGTACTCCAATTTAATCAACCATTTCAGCTTCTTCTTCTTCTTTTTTTCTGGTCGACTATAATTCATATATACAGATCAGATGCATTTATACAGATCATTAAGTCACAAAACCCGGTCAATTAACAGCTTCAAAATTACGAAACATAAATTACATTATGTTTTACTGATTATATAAAAAGACTCGTTAGTTTATATAAAAAAGGACTTGTGATTAGAATATATACAAATAAAAGACGCGTTAGTTTAGTCGGCATTCATGGGCTCCATATAAAGCACATCAAGTTCTGCTTCAAACATCAAAACAAGTTCAATTTTAAGGATCAAGGCAGTATCTTTAATTTTGGTGTTTCTAATCATGACAATCTCAGCGACGGGAAAGAAATGTGTGGTTTTGGGTTTAGCAATATGTCTTGTTCTCTCAAGTTTCCATGAGGTTTCTTGTCAGGTAAGCAAACCACAATTAGAATACCTTTTGCTTTATATTACCATATGCACGAAATTTAAAGAAGGAATAAGAATATGAAGATCAGAAATCAAATTAACTTGTATGGATTTGTTTTTCGTTTCAGGTTGAAGGAAGCTTCGAGGGTCAAAGAGTTCAATGTAAGCAATATTTTTCAGACGAACTTGTATTTTTTTATTTTATTTTTATTAATGACGATCTATAAATAGCCAGGGATTTGAATTTGAGTCTTGTTTTGTTGCAGCTAATGTGGAAAGCCTCGAAGCAGAAGAGACATCATCTGTCTCTCGGTCGGTTGAATCCGAGGTAAACCTAGAACATTGTTTTGATACTTGTTGTAACCTAATCCAGGATTTAAAACAACAGTTTATGGTGATTCCTTTTTTTTTAATAAAAAAGGTGAACTTCTTTTCTAATCTCTGGTTTGTGAAATTTGGATATACAGTCTGAAGCTGCTAGTAGTCAAGTGGGTCGACGCTCGAGTAGTTCGGACGTTAGACGACTAGCGCAAGGTATAGTGTAAAAAAAGTTGATTAATAGGCTCTTTAGATCGTGTACGTATATATATCAAGTTTGAATGTTTATTTTGGTTTGTCTTTTTGATTGTATAGGTTTATCTGATGGTGACATTAATAGCGATGCTGAATTAATGGATGCTTCTGAATTTGGTAAGAGATTAAAAAATAACAAAAGAAAAAACTCTTCCTCTTCCACTTTCTTTCTCCTAGGCATACAGTAGTTGTTTTTGGTAATTAAAACATTTTTGTTTAATGTGTTTTTGATTCAGGGGCTACGAATTGGAACCGAGCGAAAGAGATGGAAGAGCTTCAAGGCCGGGTGAAAGGTAATTAATTTTGTCTATATTTTTTTTTTTTTTGAGAAAAATCTTGAATCGTTCTTGAGGCATCAAGTGATAATGTTTAACGAATGTTTACTATTTAAAGAATTTTGTTTGTTATATTAACCGTTGCCACGTTACAATTCCCTAGCTACGGCATCTGGCAAATCTGTCGTAGAAGAAGAATACACGAAGGAAAGCAGTAAGGTGGAAACAAGTGAAACCGCATTCCAAGGTACACATTGAGATGATATAGAAACTTAATTGTTTTGATTTTAAAAGAAAGTGTATTTGCTGTATTAAAACTTTGTAATATTTAACTTAATTTATGGCTGAAGCTTGTTTGTTCATTTCTTACTTTCAGGGCGTGAAAGTACAGAAGGCGAAACTGATAGAAACCAAATATATTATGGAAATGAGGGTGCAAATGAATGTAAGAAACACTTCTGGTTCTTTGTATGTTTTTCGTTAGATCTATCTTACAAAAGAATTATTGGTTCATTATTCTAATTTATATCTATATCATGCGTTGTTACAGCTGAAGGATACATGATAAATGAACCGATAAAAATTGGAAGTGAAGGTATAGATATAAATATATAATCTTCGCATTTTCTTAAAAAGGTTATCAGATCATCGTGGTGAATATAATTGATTATTTTCTTTCAGCTGGGTCAACGGAGAGTCGTCTAGGGTATGAGTCGAAGAAAACCAATGCTCGCTCAGGTTTTGCGGAGTCTCTAAGAATTGGACAGTCAGGTTTATCTCTCAATTAAGCTTTAATTTGCATGTACCATACAATAATATAAAAGTGTGAGAAAACAGTGTTTAATCTGTCGCTGTTATTGATTAGATATTAGGTTTATTTATAGAGAACCTCAATTTAACCTACAATATTTTACAGTTATAAGTATAAGAAATCTTCCCGTCCTACCTATTTAGCAGTAAGAATTTATACAATAATTGTTAATTTTCCTAACAACGACGATAAAAATATATGTTTAAAACCAATTCGCCATCTCCAAAATCTCATAATGTTACACAAGAAACTCATTAAAAGAGCTTTATTTTTTTTGTCGTGGGCATGCAGGTTCCTGGACCTGTACTAACCAAGACCAAAATGGTGCTAGGGGAGACGATTCTATCATTATACCAAAGTATGAATTAAATGACATCATGAACGAAGAATCCATCAAGGTTTCTTCTTAGTCTTGGAGGACATTTTCCATTAAATTTAAACGATATTAATTAATAATGTAAAGAAGTAAACTTATCTTATTAACATCAATGGGTTGATTTTGATACGTAGGGCTCCTCGTCAAAGACCTCTAGTCTCATGACATCGCTGTCCAAGATTGTTGAGACTCACAAGGAAGGACGATGGCAAGATGTTAAAATAGGAAAGGTTACTACTAAGGAAACATCAGTGAAGGTAACGAGGCTAAGAGAGACCCTGAAACGTTACGTGGGTATAAAGGTACGTGAGCTCGTGGCTCGTTCGGATTACGAAAATATACTGACGATGGCTGCGCACTACGAGGAACTGACCTTGGCTCCAGTAACCTACATATCGAAGCTGGCCACGTTCGGGACTGTGATAAAGCAAGGATTCAAGGTCTCTCAGCGAGTTAAAACTGTGCACCAGAGTGTCATGGTGCACGAAAAAGTGGCCATTGAGAAGCAGAAAAGGGTGGACGCTGAGTTCGAGTTAGTCAAGACTTTGGCTGATAAAGGAGACAAGTTGTCGGTAAAAATATTCGCCATGAAGAAAATGGTGTTGAGGCTTGAGGCCGAGAAGAGAGAAGTTGATATTGAATTCAAGAAGATTGTTGAGAACCTATCACACGTTCTAGAGGAATCGTCCAAGGCCTATGAGAAGCATCATGGGGTTGTGCGCGAGTGGAAAGAGGCAAAAGCACATGTTGAATATTCTCATGAGACCATCGAAAAGGCTGAAGTCGTTTGGGTTCAGTTTCTCAGCACTCTTTAGAGTCAAGTCTCTTCTTTTTCTTCTTTTGACTCTTTACTTAATTATGTTTGATTATTTCTTTGTCATTACCTTTCAAATAAAAAGCTCCTTCTTCTTTTCTTTTCATTTCTATTGAAATTGTTTCAACCGAGAATATATACTTATAGTCTGTATCATCATGCATGGCTTTGAAGGAATATGAGAAAAACTCGGTGGCTTGTGAAAATTTTAGTTTTAAATTTAATCATCAAACAAGAAGATACATTCTGAACTTTTATAAATTTTGAACTAAACATCACCTCATCTTGAGATGACCCATGACTTAAACATCACCTCATCATGCATGGCTTTGAAGGAATATGAGAAAAACTCCATATTATTGCTATTTGGAAAATTCGAGTGAGTAACTTGGACAAGAAGATACATTCTGAACTTTTGAATCTTACGAACCTTCTTTCATTACTTTCGTCTCATCTGAATTTCCAGTGAAGAAGTTTTTTGTTTATTTTTGGATACTTAAGTTTCCTTGCCTTTTATAGTAATAAATACCCAAATTCGAGCCCTACTGACCGATATAATTACCATGCTCCATCGCAGGTGTTAAAGATTTTAGAATCTAATAGATGAACCCGAATTTTCTTTTTATCCCAATCATTTTGTAATGTTCTATAAGAAAAATACTCAACCAAATAAAAAAAAATACGAGAATGCCGTACAATGTTTTTTTTTTTGGTTTAAATGCCGTACAATGTTGTTCAATTATAAATTTTATTTTCATCGACTCGAATTGAAGATGATCATCATTTATCTATTCTTTCTTTTTTCTTTAACACAAAAATTGTCTAGCTCAGCGATCGTAAAGAGCCAAATTTGATATTGATAGACAATATTATAAAGTTTAACAACGAGTCATTCTAATATATTTTTTCCCCCTTTTTTTCGTTTAAACAACGACTCAACTCAGTTTCTGAAGGAAAAAATAATGAGTCAACTCAAAAGAAATAAATCATTTTCTACAGATCGATGACATCGAAATAAGATTCTAGCCTTCTAGGTGAAGATATAACGTCATTATCAGAGATAGAACACGTTTTTTGTAATATCGAATATCTAGTAGTATGAAATAAAATTAGTCAGTTTGATCGTATTAAAAATATTTTCTAGGGAAAGATGTGGTTGTTCTCAACTTTCTAATTAATCGTCAAATTTTCATGCATGTATAGTACCAAAAATCTTTATTTTTTGTAGTTATACTCCATAGTTTTAACCTCAGCATAGCCATATATATAACCTATATTTAGGGAGAATTACTAGAATACTCTTTTAAATAGGGGTATTTGCTAGAATAGCTGAATTTTTTTGTAATTACTGAACTAACTTAGCGTACCGATTATACCTTTCGAGCCTTTGATAGTAAAAACGGTATTTACGATTGTGCCATTACTTTTCCTTTGCCAAGTCAGCGAGTTGTTTGACGGTAGACTTGTTTCGTTTGGTCAACGGCTGGTAGATTTGTTTTTTTCCGGTAGATTTGTTTCGTTTGGTAGACTTGTTGTTGGCGATGAAGTGCTTACAACGCAGTAGATTTATTGGGAACGGTAGAGTTGTTTCTTGAATGGTAGATTTGTTAGGAAACTTGGTAGACTTAAAAATATGTTGTGGAAGATTTTTTGTTTTCTACCCTACCAGAGGGTGATTGGTTGACTTTTTACGTTCATTGACTTTGAATGGCGGTAGATTTGTTTTTGGACTTGGTATATTTATTTTCATTTGGTAGACTTAGTATTTATGGTGGTAGATTTTTGTTACTCCTAAATCTGTATTTACTTGGTGGTAGAGTTATTTTGGTGATGGTAGAGTTTTTAGTGCGAACGAATCCTGGTAGAGTTATTTTGCTGTTGTGGTAGATTTACTTGATTTTCGTAGTGGTAGAGTTATATTTTCCATAATGACCAGAATAACATAAGTGGTAGATTTATCATGTTACGTAGTGGTAGACTTATTATGTGCTGGTAGATAGTTGACTTTTTCACAGATCGTGATTGCGTAGTGATAGACTTTTCATGGTGATTTCATGGTGAAGAACGTTGAAATCAAATGTTGATCAGTGGGATGTTGATTTTGGACGTTATAAGAATGCGAATATTGCAGTGAAGAGATTCAAAATTTATAGAAAGTACATAGAGAAGCAGTTCTTAAAGAAAGAAAGTACCTAGAGATGTTCAACGAACGAAGTGCATAGAGATAGATAAATCAATCCACAGTAGAAAATAGACGCTATTAAAACTGAAATCTAAGTAGTTGGTACAGAAGAAAAAGGTAGCACTTGTGGCAACACATTAATGGGTGTTTGAACCTATAGCTTGGAAATTCTTCTGCTTTGAAAACATTAGGCAACAGATCTGCAGTAGCACTTTGCATTCCCATCTTGGTTCGAGAAACCTATATTTCGACTGTTAAACACTCGTTCACTGCATTGGAAAATTTGATGATCTTACTGGACACACAAGTTAAAGAAAGTACATATAGAAAATACTTAGAGATGTTCACTGAACGAAGTACATCGAGATTGAAGTATCGATTCATATTACACAGTAGAAAGTACACGATATTAGAACTCAAATATTGAAAAATCTTCTATGCTGAAAACATTTGGCAGGAAACCTTCTTGGTTCACGTTTGTAGGTGGTGTTAAATCCATTATACTGCCAAACCATGTCTCATATGTTTTGACATAACGATTTGGACTCAATGTAAGGATATGTTCTGATTTGGTAGATTTGTTGATAGATTTATGTATGTTCGTAGTAGATTTATACATGATTTAGTGGAAGATTTATGCATGCCGTGCTGGTAGATTTATATTTACTAATATCTTCCTCCTTTGTACATGTCGATTACTGGAAGTTACATTGGGCTATATGATATATAGAAGCCAAATCGGTGTATCAAACAAATCTACCATCATTATCAAATCTATTATACCAAATAAGTTACATATATTAAAAATCTACCACCATAATGAAACATATCTCATATTATAATTAAATCTACCATTACGCTTAAATACTAATAAAATTTATACATCAAATCTACCATCAAGGGATACCAGAATTTTAATGATCCAAAACCTATTAAAACGGAAAAACAAAAACCCTAGGAACAAAAACTGTTGCAAGCCGCCGCTACATCCATCTTTGAGAAGATCAGCCACCAGAGAATGCCTCTGAAACCACTTTCTCGGGGAAGAGATACACATACTTTTTGAAGCTTCCATAAGAAATTCTGCCGGAGAAAAGCAACCAAACATAAGAGAAGATGAAAAAGTCGATCCGGAGACAAGCTCTATCGGCCATGGATCAACCGCCGCAGATCTGGCCGGAGAGAAGAAAAAAAAATATAGAAAGAGAAGAGAAAGAAAACAAATGAGTAAAAAAAACAGATTTGACGGAAGAGATAATGGAAAAAGAGAGAGAGAAAGAGAATGAAGAGAGAAATAAAAAAAAGATGATCAGAAAAACCAGATCTGGCCGGAGAGAAGAAGAGAAAAAAGAGAGAAAGAGAAAGAAAGAGAGAGAAAAAAAATAAAAGAGAAGGAAAAGAAATGAGAGAGAAAAAAAATAGATTTAATATATATATATATATTTTTCCATAATAATTAAAAAATATTATTTTTTATTTCAAATTTTAAATAATAAAATATTTTGTGTGTTTTTTATTTTGATAAATTTGGGTCATATGACCATATTTTGAAGCTAAATTAATCAAATAACTATAACAAACTAGATGCTATAATATTCTTTGTATATTCTACAATATATACAAAAATATCCTTTTGTTTTTTTTCCTTTATCCCTTTCTCCTCCGATCTTCTCTTCTCCTTTCATATTTTCCCCCTTCAATCTTCTCTGCCACCTACGCTCATCTCATCTCTCTTCCTTTATTTCTCTTCCCCTTTCCTCTCCTCCCTTCCTCTCTTGTCTTCTTCTATTTCTTTCTCTTTACAAAAAAATATTTTTATAAATACTATATCAAATAGAGCTATTCCATAAATTGATATATAATATAGTATATAATATAGTATAGTACAGGGTTATTTTCGACAATTGAATATGGGTCATGGTTAGTTTACTAATTTTCCAAACAGTATGGCTATATTTTTCTATTGTTTTGCAAATATGATTATAGAACAAAAACCCTTATTTTATTACAAAAATAATATTTTTTAATTATTTTATAACAAAAATTGTATTTTCGTTATTATATCTAAAATTTAGATTTTAATGTCTTTGCACAACTTTGTAAGGTTATTTTAGTTAGTCAATTGTAGAAGGATGTTATTCTAGTAAATACCCTATTTAGTAAGATTATTGTAGGTAAATAGCTCATATCTAGTACGTTGATCCATCTTCCTACCAAACCAAATATAATACTTTTGACATAGAGAAGTGCTAACGGTGCTTGCCAAATAGTTAAGATTGTAGTAAGAAAGCTTCTCTGAAACATTTTTGAACTCGACCAAAACTTTTTTTTTTTTGGGTTCAAAAAATCGACCAAAAACATAAATATATATATATATATATATATATATATATATATAAGAAAGGCATATATACACACATGAGACTCGCACCTAGGGTATGGCTAAATCCGTAGAACGGAATATAATCCTGTATCATTAGTCTCCTAAGATAAACCTAAGGAAGCACGGTATGTCATTTTCTTTTGCGGACGGTGAAGTTTCGTATATATATCCATATCACATGAGGTCTTAGAAGATCAAATATCTTTTAATTTTTTTGAACTTCGATTTCTTGGACCGTATATTTACGTTGCAATAGCCAACGTAATTGTCATCGAAATTTGGGTTCCGAAATTTTTGATTGAAGATATCTATTTAAAGCGATTAACACAATCGTCTCAATATTGCATGTAAAACAAATTCGATCGGATTGTTGAAAATGGGAAGAAAAAAATGGGAAGAAAAGGATATGACCTGATTTGTTTGCATTAGTAACCCC